CGCCTAATGATTTATCCTTTGCGCATGCGCATTAGACCTGTACTGTCCGTTAAGGATAATTATTTAGTGACGCGGTGGTCAAGTCCACTATTACGATGTAAAACAGTTATCATATTGTGTTTATTATTTTTAGGCACGCAGGGCTATGTAGAAAGAGCATCGAAACACGTGGCTATCTGATTTGTACGAAGGGGCGTAGCCCCCGAGTATGAATCAGATTGCCGAGTGTTTTGATGTTCTTTCTCTTTTGTATCATAGTCAAACATAATAAAGTTTCCTTTTAAAAGGAAAGGCTTGCACAGTTGTGCCTTCATCCCATGCGACCCTTTAAAATTGTTTTTTTTGTTTCAATTTATTATCACATTTTTTTTTAATTATGGTATTTGTATATCATAAAGGGTTTATTTAGTTCTTTTTTTTTTCTTTTTTTTTGGGAAAACCGAATATTTTTTGTCAAAACGATTTGAAATATATTCTCTATTGTATAAAACTAATAAAGAAAATGATCAATCGTAAAAATACTAACGTGATACTGAAGGGAAACAAGTGTGCACATTTCATTCCCCTTTTTCGCAGTGAAATCATTCCTTTGCTTTATAGACAAGTAAATGCACTAAAATACTTCGTTACGTGGTACCAATTAATAAGCATGTATCAACTATGTTACACGATGCGCTATCGTGGCAAGGTTAATGATATGCATGGGCTATTTTTAGATTACCTCACCAAGAAGTTGAATTGCGTTCAGTAGATCTAAATATAACTTGATCATGTGTGATTTGGTAAGCAAGACCACCCTTTGAAGCTACAGTCACCATATTCTGTTGTATAACACTAATACAGACAAAAAACAATTATAAAAGAAACTTTTGCGTCTTGAAAAACAATTGAAACGGAACAATTTCGTTTATAATTTATTACGGTTTAAACCGATAAATCAAGTTAAAATAGAAATCCTATTTATATAAACAAACTGGGATTACCGAAGTAACTAAAATAGCTTAGATTTCCGTAATATTACTTCGTCTGATTCCGCAGTATGACGGAATCGCCCGAATTGTCACGATTGCAATCGGAACTACATCGGCTATTATCATTAATCCGAAGAGTGACGGAAAAGGCCGAAAAGTTGCGATTGGCACGATTGCAGCTGGTTTCCCGTTCAATCATGCACTAACAATTGGAAACAGGAAACCACCTTACCGGAACAAGTTATTCAAAACAAATGGCTTGCAGCCGTGGCTGCAAGCCAAAACACGTTCCCTGTTGTCACAATATGAAACCCCAGGAAAAAGTAACCAATGAACGAGGATCTGAATTTGATATTTCTGCCGCCATCCGTTTCTCCGCCGTCACAATATTTAAGTAAACCACAGCAAAAATGAGCCAATCAATGGGCATGCGCTCTGGAGTGCGGGTAACTAATACCTGCACTCCAGTTACCGCACTGTGCATGTATATGTATACGATTTAACTCTGACACTTTTTCAACAGAAAGGTCCCCAAACTATGATACAATGACGCATACAGTTTTTTATGGATTTACTCTCTTTACGTAAACAAAACATTTCATTGACTCTGTATATAGTCATGATAGTTTTATTTTAAAGCTTTGAACCTTATCGCCTAGATACTTCGAAGATCTATATTTATATTAGAATTAGTTATATAATTAGACATAACTAAATTTTGGAATCATGTCTCAGAAATCTCAAAAATCACGGTCGCTCCATACCCTTTAGTTTTCTCACCGTTTTTAGTTTATTTGAATTTTCATTTTCCTTGATCAATGTTACGCACGTGCGTAAGTGCGTAACGTTAGCTAAGTTCAGAGAGCTTCGGTATTTCGCTCACAGTGAACAATACGATAGATACTTTAGAAAGATTAAGGTGACAACGGAGTCAATTATCACTGAAAATACCTAAAATGAGATTTTTTGCTTAGTAGATTTATCCATCTTTTCCGAACACATTCGTGATTTAATTTTGGGAGCAGTTAGTCCAAAAAATGTGTTTTTAAACGTTTTAAAACGGTACCTGTACCATTTTTATCTGCTATTCGCGTAACCTGTCAATTATCGATAACGCTCCGCCCCCTAGCTGTTGAGGCAACAATGACGGAAATCAGTAGTTCCATATATGCGTGAATTACCGGTCCATACTGGTCCATACTACTCGTAATTCATGTATCGTACAAATACCGAATATCGTCTACCTTTTATTTAGCCTTTTTTTTATAAAATAAGAAATTGTCGGCCAATGTACGTAACATAATGTATGAAACATAAATAAGCTATCGTCGGATACCCACGGCCGAACCATTAACATTTATCATTTATTGCATGTTATGTGACATGATTATCAATCGTGGGTATCCGACGATGAAATAATTAAGTATAGCGGCAAATCGCACGACCACGGGGTTGATTAAAAATATAGTTGCTAAATTATCCATAATGTGTGAAAATAATTTGTCTGTCCCGTTAATCTGATAGATATTACATTGAGTTTATGGACTTTGTACGGATTCAAGGGCTTGCTTTACATTCAACCTCATTTTCTAACAATGTCAACAAAAACAGACAACATTTTTAATGTGAACGCCTATATGACTTGTGGTAAGGTGTCCCTGACAAATTTCTAAACCATTTTAGGTTGTCTAAGATTTATATCAATTTAAGGGAAAAAATATATAATATCCCGTTCTTATTTGTACATCTACCATGGACTTTAAAAGACCGTCAGAAGCTCAGTTTTTTGTTATTTTAATTTATATTTTAACGGAAATTTCATAAACGAATACACAGAGTGACACTGGTATAATATAATGATAATGCTGAAATGCTGATGATAATAATAATAATAAACTTCAAAAGTGGAACAATTAAATACCCCGCTAGCGGTGCGCAAATACGTTCCATTTCCCCCACCGAGTGCCTCAAATTTTACCGAAAGTCACGTGACATGTGCGACCGATACCAGACGGACGGTAAATCACGTTTAGATTTGAAGAAATTTCTGTTATAAACTGATATTAATCAGCAACTTTTTAATTGGTCAGATGTCACTGTGTCATAAAATGTTGTTAGAGTATGTTACCGCAACTTGTGACACTCTCTGGTGCGATATTTGTATATTATGCAATTATTTAGCGTGAAACGTAGTGGTCCGAGAGAGAACAGCCGATTTATGACACTTCGTTTGATGCGGGTCGGACTAACTTTGAATCGGCATAACTTTTTTAATAATCAAGCAATTAACATGCGGTTTAAAGCATATGAAAGGGAATTCAGTTACGGAGGGAACCGTGTCAGGGATTTTTGTTTGCTCAATCAGCGGCTTAATTATCTTTAATTACGTAATATGTATGGTGAAAAAAGTCGCATAAAATGTTTGACGTTACGTAATATTTTTTTGAGAAAAGATAGAAAAAATTTGAGACACGGTTCCCCAGATATTATAAGTATGTTTATTTTCCAAAAGTTTGATGACAAAAAAATAATAAAGTTTCCTTTTAAAAGGAAAGGCTTGCACAGTTGTGCCTTCATCCCAACATATTTAGTTGTTTTTATTTTTGTAAAAACGAATATTTTTGTCAAAACGATTTGAAATCTATTCTCTATTGAATAAAACTAATAAAGAAAATAATCAATCGTAAAAATACTAACGTGGAGATCTATCTATCATACTGAAAGGAAACAAGTGTGCACATTTCATTTCCACTTCGTTACGTGGTACCAATTAATAAGCATGTTCACAGATACGATGCGCTATCTATAGATCATCACGTGGTAAGGTTAATGATATGCATGGACTATTTTTAGATTACCTCACCAAGTTCAGTATCTCATGCACTAATATTCTGTGTGATTTGGACCACCCTTTGAAGACGGAATACTACTACAGTCAACATCCTCTATTGTATAAAACTAATATATACAGACAAAAAACAATTATAAAAGAAACTAACTTTTGCGTCTTGAAAAAGAATTGAAACGGAACAATTTCGTTTATAATTTATTACGGTTTAAATCAATAAATCAAGTAAAAATACGAATCCTATTTATATAAACAAACTGGGATTACCGGAGTAACTAAAATAGCTTAGATTTCCGTAACATTACTTCGTCTGATTCCGCAGCATTCGGAACTGCCTCGGCTATTATCTATAATATTAACCTTATCCGAAGACTGACGGAAAGGGCCGAGTAGTTGCGATTGATTCTGCAGTATGACGGAATCGCCCGAATTGTCACGATTGCAATCGGAACTACATCGGCTATTATCATTAATCCGAGGAGTGACGAAAAAGGCCGAAAAGTTGCGATTGGCACGATTGCAGCTGGTTTCCCGTTCAATCATGCACTTACAAATGTAAGCCGAAAAACACCTAACCGGAACAAGTTTTCCATATGAAATGGCCGTGGCTGCAAGCCAAAAAATGACTTTGATATGACGATTTAAAATTTTAGGATTTTATTAAAAATCAATCATTTACAAAGGCATTTTTTTCAAATATGTTATTTTTTTATGATGATCAACGACATTTAATGCACAAAGATTAAATAAATAACAATTATCACTAAAATAAGTTGGTTTAAATGACATTTATGTGAGTACCACGGAAAGTGTCTGTTGTCACCTTAAATGGCAATCCGGTCAACTCGTCCCCTGGTCAACTCGTCCCCTGGTCAACTCGACACCTTTTTGGTCAACTCGTCCCCTACTTTTGGTCAACTCGTCCCTAATATTGTCAACTCGTCCCCTACTTTCGATCTCTGTCTTTAAAATGTCTTTAAATAATTCTTTTATGTAAAATATGTAAAATTAATACTGAATTTGATTGATATCGAAATATTAATAAAATAATTACGTCTTTTTTACGTTAAATTTTAATGATCTTTCTCTAAGCGCACTTGCATAGCTTTGATGTCAAACTACAAAGACAGGTAAGTTTACAAACATTCAATTTATGTTTAATTAATCGGAGTTTTAATGATAATTAAAACTAAAATTAGGTCCAACCCTTTGATTTTTACCGCCTCCCTGAATGGATTAAAGACTGACGACAGATTAACAGAAATTAGAAGCGCTAAAAACTTTATGTCGGTGCATATTGATCTCATTATAGAAGGAGCGTGCCAATTAAAAACATGATAATTGTTTGTTGGGAAATTGTCAATATAAAAGTTGCCCTGATAAATATAAGATTTATTCTTAAAAACACATTTGCGTTGTACGTTATATGAACATTGGATTATTTTTTATAGTGCATATTAATCATTTCTTAGAATTCCATATTGTTGGATTATAGACTGCATGTGAACGGTGTATGTGACAATTTTAATTATTTGTGTTGTTGATTGTGACTTTTTTAATTGATTAGTGTCGTTAATTGTGACAATGTACCCCTGCATTGATTGTAGGAAACATGTGCGGAAAAATCAGCAAGCACTTCAGTGTGAGCGCTGTGAACACTGGCAACACAGAAGTTGTGATACAGGTTAGTCATTTGTGATGTTTATGTTCATTTTAAACAGACAAATGGTCTTGCAATTCCAAATGATCTTATATAGTGTATTGGAATAAAATTTGTCAAAGAATATTTAATGAATTTATTAAGTTTTTTTTTTTTTTAAATTGCATTTTATTGTAATATTATGGTCCATTATTATATTGGAGTTGTATATACATACATGCCTTTTGAAAGAGTTAGTATTTATTTTTTTTTTTCATTATTTTTTTTAAATAAAAAATCCGTACAATAATATTTGCAGTGGATATTAACTGATTGAAAACATGATTGAAAACATAAAAGTAATTACCAAGTATTCAATTGCCATCTTATAATTAGTAAAGATTAATATTCAATTGCCATCTAATAATTAGTAAAGATTAATATTCAATTTCCATAAATAAATCTTTAAACTGATCTCAAAGAGGAGCTGTATAAAACCGAGTTCCAGAATTTCTTGTATAATACAAGTCAACATATTGAATGTATTAATTGTATTTAATCAACATTTTCATATATTTGACCATACACCATCAAAACAAATTCGACATTTGGAAAATAAATTTTTATAACAACCTTTGGCACGATTTTCACGCGATTTGTATAATTTCAAATTAAAGACACGCGTTCTTTAAATATATAAAAACGTATCCAACCACAGAGGTATTTGTGTCGTTAATCCTATTATCAAATTACCATGTGTATACTTTAATAACCAAAGGCACGTGTCATGATATATTTAATTAACAACAATTTATATCATGCATAAAACAGTACAGTATCCACTTATCGTCAATCAACACGATAATTTAGGTCATTGTATCAAGTCAATTATATTTATTTATTGGTTGTAAAATAATGATGATATGTTTGATTTAATGAAACATATTTAGAAATTAGATTAACAAGTGTATTCTAGCAATTGAGTAAAAACAGTTTAACCCAGGATAAAACCAAAATTGGTTTATGGATTAAATTATTATTATTATTATCATTATCATTATTTTTATTGAAGATTGAATGGGAGGGCTGGGGAAACGCCTCCATTCTACCTTTTGATTAAACTGCTGTACGATGAGGCCCAGGTAGCGGTGAGGAACTCTGAATTGATAAGTGAAGGAAGACTACGCCGCTACCAGCGGAAAAAGTACACCTTTCTCCAGGGACAGACGCACCAGCTGTGGGATAAATACAGGAATGGGGAGTTGTCATCAACGGGACGTTTAAGAGAATTCGGCAACTTATACAAGCCCCAAGAGTAGAAACGTAAGATGTCCAAAAAAAAGACAATGAAATATGTGCATGAAAAAAACAATGAAAGTGTGAAAGTGAAAGTGAATATATACATGTATGACATAATATTGACAAAAAAGACATACTATATGATATTTTATCTTTGCATATAAAACATGTTTTTATACATTAAATGTTATTGCTATTGATCGTCTTCGTGTTGTTTTTTTTTCTGTATGTAATTTAATCAGAATTATGCATATATATATATATCCTTACTATAAGATGAAACTCCAAATATTCGCATACAAAAAGCGTCAAAATATGTCCAATTCAGTAATTTTATAATATATTATTATTATCCTAGAGGACGAGTTGTCCAGGGGACGAGTTGACCAAAAAGGTGACGAGTTGACCAGAGGACGAGTTGACCAGAGGACGAGTTGACTCTGAATCCCTTAAATGTATAATAGTGTTTAAATTAGATCTCATTTTTATACAAATGTATTAATATTTCAGATTAAAATGTATAATTAATTAATATCAAAAATGAATAACATTAATTCTAATAAATAAACACAATGTATTATGAGGATTTGATATTCAAGGTCAGAGATCTTCCTTTAACTCATAATAGTAATTAAACAACGAAAAGAACCCGATGTTCATAAAGTAAAATAAGTTTTAATGATTAAAGAGCGTTCAGTTACAGATGGTTCGATATTTGTTTCCATTAATCATCTTTATACTGGCCACATCGTTCACGCCGAATTAATCGGTCTATTCTTGCTTAATTCCTCCCTTATAGACAATTCCTGTTCAAATTAGTGATCTACAAGGTTAGCTTTTAAAAAAGCTAGTAGCGACTCGCTTCGTAATTTTTTCCAGGGGTGTGTTTAAATGTAAAAATGACAGTTCTGTTAGCTGAAGAGACTTCAGCGAAGATCAAAATAAAAGTGACATATAAAGTTATGGAAGCCAGTTCTCTCAGTTATATGAGTATTTATGAAGATGCATGTAAACAGATAGAATGAATTAAGTCCCTATGTCTATGCACATTTACTATATGGCCTGTTGAAATTGACCAAAAAAATGTTAGATAGGTAGACTTCATAAAGATGTCTCTTTATACGAAGTTAAGTTGTAATATGATTTAGTATTAGAATGAGTGACAGACACAAGTCCTAAAGTAAACACAAGTTGTCAATCAATTCAGCCAGAAAAGCCGGGATCGTATTAAAAATATAGGGATCCGTCTAAGAAGATGTTTTTCAGATAAGCCGGGATCGTATTAAAACATATAGGGATCCCGGGAATTGACCAGTTCAAGAATATAGTTTTCAGAAAAGCCGGGATCGTATTAAAATATATAGAGATCCCAGGAATTGGCCAGTTCAAGAATATAGTTTTCAGAAAAGCTGGGATCGTATGAAAACATATAGGGATCCCGGGATTTGACCAATTCAAGAATGTAGTCTTTGATTTTTCCAATTACATGTAAATAGGCATATAATTATAAGTATTGTGATTTCCGCCTTTTAAGTTTGTTAATAAATAACTCCAAATATATCTATATCCTAAGTTAAATTAATTTAACGTTCATTACATACAATAAAAAAACAAAAATCTTAACGTTTAATGGCCTTCATTACGACAATAATCAACACAAATATAGTTTATTAGTTTTTCCTCTATATCTATTACGATCCCGGGCGTCCCGGATCCCGGCCAGTTAATACAAACACTAAATACCGGAAAGGATAAAATGACCGGATAAAAAGAAAAAAATGCACCAGATGTACACTTATGTTAATTAACCAAACGAAAACTTACTATTACTACAGAGAAAACAGAGAAATCGCTAAATCAAAAGTCGGTGTACATATGATTAATTGAAAAGATTTCATGAAAACAAACATTTTAATCATCATTATATCTTTGCGTTCAAAGCAATACTTGCTGCTTTTGAAAAATGGGGTGCAAATTGAAGGTTTTTTTTGACGCTATGTTAGATTAAATTTGATTGGCTTAATAATTTTTTATTCCAGCCCTGACAGATAAATTTTGTAGAAAGCTGGAAGCCAAGCTTCGATTAAATTTTTGGATAGATTCGGAGTTTTAGGTTGTATCTCAGTAAAATTCTAACGTTATACCGGCTCGCCGTGGCGAGCCGGCATTATACAATATGTGTGATTATAGTATATTAAATCGTAGCACATTAAATGAATTTCAAATTTTCTGAATTTATATCACTTTTACCAATTTTACTTGTTTAATTTGTGTTAAATCAATGGCCGGGATGTTGTCATTATCATATGCCAGGGAAGGTTATACGACCATCCTGTCCGACATAATTATGAATCATGGGTAAGCCTACGTTTAGGTGATAGAGTCCTCTCTTCACATTATTTTGCAGTGGTTTCTTTCCTGCAGTATGAGTCTTTATGGCGGTTCTTATGCCGTTTGTTGATGCCGATGGTCCTTAAGCTTTTCTTTCTGTTGTTCGTGTAGAGAGACGGCCATGATGAGAACCACCATGAATGTGCCAGGCGGTGGCTCTTGTTAATTCTAGGTGCATGACCTATATATCTTCTGTAGTGGTACTCTAGGAAATGCTACATGTCAAATATCTTAGATCTGGGCATTGTAGTTTCACAAAAGTTGACTTAAATGCATTTTCCTATACAAGTCTATGTAAATAAGTGATTCCTGGGGCTGGGCTTCTTGTGACCCCAAATGCAGATATGTGATACATATAACTTTTGGAGAGGATCACAAGGTACGTGTTGCTTTATTCAAAATATCTAATATATAAAAGCAGTGGTCATACAGTTTTTGAGAAGAAGATGTCCTTTTAAAAGTCTATTTCTAGCTCTTGTGACCAATTTATGCATCAAACTGGAACCATTTATTGGCGTCCGCGCCGAAGCGAGGCGCCTATTGGAATGAAATGAGATTTTGTGAAAGGGCGACAGCAACTTCTCGAGCCTTTTATAGTTGCCTCGCTTCGGCGCGGACGCCAATAATAAAAGCCGATCATTCCGATCGGTATGAGGGTGCTTGATTGTTAATTAGTCGCGATATGTACAATGAATGGCGAACTGGAGAATTTCGCAATGCAAACATTTTCAAATGAAATAACCTTTTCCGTCAATAAATCGCGCTCTTCGGGGTATTTTTGCTTATCATTTTGTAGTACACAGTGGGTTATTATGGTATGTTATTCCGAAAGCTGTTAATAGAATGATGAGTTGATGACCTTAATATTCCGAAAATGTATTTATAGAGGGATGTACTCCTAGGTAATTCCCGGTCTCTCCCGGGATTTACTAATGACCGGCGAATAGTACCACAATTGTCCGGTCTCTCCCGGTTTTGGAGTAGATATCGTTACAGAACAGAACAAATATTTTACAGATAAATAAGCTTTTTTTTCAAAATGAATGTTTGTCACTTAGTTTGGTTACAATAATTAATAAACACAGATCAACTCTCGAATTGATTGATTATTATTATACATAAACATACAATTCGAAAAAAAAAACCAACAACACAAATCGCATGTTATATTTTATCTATATGAGATAAAAACAATAAATATGTACAATAATTGAGAAAAAATGTACATTTTTATGGCATTAATATGACACTATCAACTTTAAAACATTTTATTTAATTTGTTATTCGTGTTTAGTAAAGATTCCGGGGAATTATTCAAAGTTACAAATCAGATTTTATGAATTATTCAATTGATTGATAATTTAAAAAATGATAAAGAAAATACAAATGTACATGTATATGGTTTAAGAATAAACAATATTATATATTGAAAGATTAACCATGATTTACTGACTTTTTCCAGTTAAGTTTTGACTTATAATCGTCGATCATTATGACAATTGAATTCTTAAAATAGTAGTAAACGTAAAATCTCAGTATTAAAATAGCGCATAAAACACACACAAAAAAAGAAAAGAAAACAATATTCATAAAATCTGTATTTTTTTTATTAAAATAGAAATTACATTTATTGTATAATAAACTATTATGCTCAACATGATTAACATGGTAATATAACAAGTGTCATATTGTTACTTAGTGTGAACAGATACCTTAAGAGGGGGTCCTCGTTAATAGCAATAACATAATAAGGGACAATTACACAAGTATGGTGTTGATCATGCGTTACACATATGGATTATGATTGTATACATGTATATCCGTTGCTATTAATAACCACGATCATAAAGAAATAACAAGTAATATTCTAATTTCTAGCATGCCAATCAAAGTTATAAATAATGAACAATGTCTTTCGTCCGTTCATTCAAAAGTGATATACAATTCTGGTAAAACCCAATGAACCATTGAAAAGTTTATAAGAATATCTTGTCATCATATATCTACTAGTTCATCTGCACCTGCTGTTTGGACGCCCTTTGATGCTTTGCATCAATGCTTTTCTTGTATAACTTTGTACAAGGTCACTTGAGGATCATTAGGACTGTGGAAAAAAAATCTGGAAACAAAGTGATCCCTCGGAAGCATTAATCACAACAAAATTACAAGAGAATTGCAGACTCGATTTGATTGAGTCTGTATATTTGAGGGATAATGAATACGTGCAACATCCCTCACGCCCCATAGCACCGGCTTGAGCGGTACTCAATTGTTTAAAGAAATCGTGGATAATGACGAACGACTGACAACGGGTGACACTACCTACCATCACAAAATCAAATCTGTTCACGTAAGCAAAATGTATAGGTAATAAGGGAATGAATGCCCACATGATCCCTTTTTTTCCCTAAAAAGTAAAAAAAAACGGTCTGTTATAGCAAGTTAAATATAAACAAAGGGATAATTTTAGAATATCAGCTGACTTCTAAATAATGTACGGAAATGTTGTAAACTTATTTATCATTGTGCCTGTTGAAAATATACATATAATTATGCTCACTGCAAACAGAGTTTTACCCCTTACAACCCGACACACCATTTGCAGTCTTCTGAAGTGATTCGAGGTATTTTATTTATTATTATAGGTAATTTTATATCATTTTTTCCTCGCCTACTGATCGGCCCAAATATGCAGGAAATTGGTCAGAAAGGTTGTTTGGATGATGTCAAATATGGCAATTTATGGGGAATTAGGGATATTTCCATTGTCTATTGTTGCAAAAGAGAGAGCACTCGAATACTGGTTG